TGCCGAACACCCTTAGCAGGATGCAGCTCACCCTTCATGCGACTCGCCAATACCTCACGGCGTTTCGCGCTTGGTGATGTGAGAGCCTGGTCCGGTGAGACCCCGGCGTGTTCCGTCCCGGCTTTGTAGGGAGGCGAGGTCAATGGTCAAACGATTACGGCATCCAGGATTTGGGGTCCCCCCCCCCCCCCCCCGATTCATCATCTGCGCTCTGTAGTGCGTACTGTGGGCGGCGGAGGTTGTTGTCGGATGTCGAGAATGTGGATAGAGAACGGGACTCAAAGATTTTGAGGGGGGGATGAAGCAAATGTGGGTAGGAATTCAAGGGATAGTGGGCAACAAAAGAGGGGGAGACACGGAAATAACGACACTAAGATCTGCCGAGGGTAAGATGGTAAGCAGTTCTAAAGGAAAGAGGGAAGTACTAGTAGAGCACTACCGCAAACTTGGGACACCCACCACCAACGACAACTTCGACTCGGAGTTTGAGAAGGAAATCAACTCGTGGGCAGAGGAAAACGTTGAAAAATCTCAGAGGGAACGTAGTGATGTAGACGGGTTGCAGGGAGAGTTCACACGAGAAGAGGTAGAGGACTGCGTAGCGAAACTCAAGAATAGAAAAGCGGCAGGGGCTGATGGAATTGTGAACGAGCTTTTGAAACAGGGGGGGGAGGGGATGATTAACATGTTGGTCCGGATATTCAACTGGATATGGAAACACGAGTATGCGCCGAAGAGATGGAGAGAAGGAGTAGTCGTGAACCTGTTCAAAAAGGGGGATAAAGCTGACCCGGGGAATTATAGAGGGATAACCCTGTTGAGCACAGTGGGGAAACTGTTTGGCAAGATGATAGACAATAGAATGGGAGACATGTTGGAGGGGAAACAAAAGATCAGCGAAGGACAAGCTGGATTTAGACCAGATCGTAGTTGTGTAGACCATGTATATACGTTGAGTAAAATCATCCAAGGTAGGAAAGACGCCGGGCGTACGACATACTGTTTCTTCCTCGATATACAAAAAGCCTACGACACCGTATGGCGCAATGGATTGTGGAAAAAGATGTGGGACATCGGCATCCGGGGGAAAATGTGGAGGATGTTGAAAAAGATGACAGAATGCACAAGAAGTGCGGTGATGTTGGATGGGGAAATTTCGAAGTACGTGGATATACTCCAAGGAGTCGCACAGGGCTGTACGATGTCACCCACTCTCTTTAAGATTTACATCAACGATTTGATAAGGGCGGTTGAAG